CAGGGTTTAAAAAAAAAGGATGTTTTTTTCTCCAAAATTTCAAATCCCCATTCACAGGGTAGTTGAGCTTGATAGTCGTAATAATAACAGTTGGGTTATCCCTCGGGACGTTTTAGAGATTTTGTGGATATCTTGGCTAACCACGATTATATGGCAATTTTTCCAAAATTCAGGTTATTCTTTATTTTAGTCCAAAAAATGAGCAATATTTGATTTTTTGACTCTTATGTCTAATTTTAGGAATACGATATTTTGCCCATAGCATTATACTAGAGGGTGTTAAACGAAGAGATGTATTTTTTCCGAAATTTCAAGTTATTCCCATTCATGGGGCTGTTGAGTTTGATAGTCGTAATACCCCTCCCTAATATAAGTAAGGTAACCTCGGAACGTTTTCGAGATTTTGTGAATACTATAGTATTCACAAAATCGTATACGATTATATGCCAATTGTTCAAAAATTGTCGTTATTTCCCAGTTTAGTCAAAAAAATGAGCAATAGTGGATTCTTTGACTTACGTATAATTTTGAGAATACGATATTGTGCACATAGCATTATACTACTACAGGGTGTTAAAAAAGGGATGTTTTTTTCCAAAATTTCCAATCCCCATTCACAGTTGAGCTTGTTAGTCGTAATACCCCTTCCTAATAACAGTTAGGTTATCCCTCGGGAGAGTAAAAGAATCAGCTATTCAGAATTTTCAAAGATTTTCAAAATCGATTCAGTAATTTTCCAATAACGAGCTTTCAAATATTTTCCAAAAAACAAGGTGCGTCGATTTTTATGACGAGCAGTTTATATAAAAACAGAGATATCTCTGATAAAAACCCATAGTACTAACTAGGGCCAATCCATGCCTATTGACAGACTGTGCGTACACTGTTTAAAATATCTGCGGTGTAAAAAGTAATCCTAAAATGGTGTCAAAATCCAACACCAAATGGTGTTAATATAACACCATGAATTAGGGTTGAAAATGAACACCAAAACGGTGTTTATCTAAAAATATTTGAGAAGTGCACCTACCCAGAAAAAAAGGAATAGTTCATTTAACCCAGTTGACCCATAAGTAGTTATATTTTTGTGGATCACGTGATGTTCTTAAATCTCGCCTCTGTTGACTTACATGAAGAATATATAAACTTAGGTAATCCTTTGCTTTGGTGTGACACTACAAGTTGTTCGATACTAAAGAGACCTTAAATAGGTGGAAACAGCTGTCAATACTTGAAGTATTTTAAGTTAGTGGAACGCACTAAAAACATTATCTCTAGCGAGTTGAAGGTTTCATTTTCTGGAATAATACCACTGGTAATATACTAGTAATGCGTCAAGGAACTTCCTGTTTCCTTTTTTTTTCCTTTCTTCTGTGTATCATACTATAGTATGATAATTTGACCACAAACACATAATATTTAACACTGAAAAGGAGTTCAATTTACACCAGATAAAATTTATTTTAATACTGTGTGATAGTTAAATTAACACCATTTTAGTATTTGAATTTACACCGCCAACGAACCTTATTTAACACCATTTTAGTATTTGAATTGACACCGGACCAACGAACCTTATTTAACACCATTTTGGTTTGTATCGATATAGACCACGTATGGTGTTAATTTGGTGTTAAATTGGTCATGAAATTTTGAACAGTGTAGTAGCGAATAAGCATGTAGTGGATCTCTTCTGTAACTCTCTAAGCAAGTTTAAACTTAGTGTCAACAATTTGTTTAGTAATATTTATAAGTAATTTTTGTAAAAAAAATTACGCATATTTTGTAATGGTAAATAAAGATATTATTAATATTATTATTATTATTAACCTATACTTGTACTTAATTAACAACCCAACCTACGTATACGTATACCAGTGCTTTCAGTAATTACATGATTGATAAACTTGTAAAATTGGGCTAAACCTTGTGTATTTAATGCATATGTTATTAAAGTATAACAATATTTGTTTCAGGGTTTAATATCAATGAATTATCCAGAAAAGGTCAATATCGTGACAAGTAATTACACAATGTGGTGATATTTATGGGTTGATATATATCAAGATTCCTATCCTTTATCCTGTTAGCTTCTTTAAATAGATAATTACATTTTTAATGCCAATTTGTATTATAGTTGGCTACAGTTTGGATTATCTTAAATCAATAACAAAACACGATTGCGATTTTTTATTTTATTGTTTTAGGTTTTATTGTTAAGGTTTCAGGGAGGTATTAAAAATAACAATATTTTTTCATGATAAATTAGATTTTTTCATTTTATCTCTTCCTTACATACAATGTATTCTCAAAATATATTCATAATTTTTTGAATAAGATATTTCATATAAGAAATTTTCATTTTCTTTGATTTTAGTAGCTTATTTGTAATATAAAAAAACTCGGTATTTCTTCATTATAATAGAGAATATTGTTTTTATAGGAATTTGAATGTTTGTTAATCCTTCGATTGTGCTAATATTTTATAATCAAAATTAAATAACAAATTTAGATTAACTGTTTAGAATAAGCAATAAGTTAAACAAAAATACCTAATTGGGTGTTTCATTTTTATTTAAATAATAATAATTAATTCTGTAAACTTTAACATACTTAATACAAAATTGTTATTTATGATGATTTAACAATTTTAAAACTTTGATATTTGAAACAGGCGGTAAATTAATAATGCCAATAAATTTAAATTTTTCCAACATTGGTTTATTGTTAACGATTTTTATAAGATAGTTTAATAGTAATTGTATAATTATTATAAAAGATACAATTACACAGTTAACAATTTTTGGGTCATTAAAAATTACCTGGATGCTCGCCTGGATGAGTTGATAGTACTAGTATTGAAAACCAAAACCCCCAATGAATTTTGAAAATTTTCTTTATTGGTTATTGCCATTTTGAGGCAAAGCAGAACATTTTATAAGTAGTAACTTTTTTATGTAAAATTAATAATAAAAAAGTTTACCATATGTAAAGAACTTACAATGTATATATATAATATTATATATACAGTGTAAGTATATCGAAAACAAATCGTTTCCGAAAATTAGTTATTAGGAAGTTTGTCTCTTTAATATTACTAATATCTGACATTTAATTGTTATAAATGAATTGTATCGAGTTTGGAAGTAAATTGCAGAACAATTTTAAACAGGTCAATGTTTGAGTCTTGATATCATTAAAAAGAATTGACTGACGTAAATGTTTGGTGTGACCTTTTTTGTAGAGCGTAAACTTTTATTTAAAAATATTAAAATATTAATATTTTAAGGCAGCGGCACAAAATGTTTTTGTAAATGAGCATAGAATTGCTGACTTAAAAATTCAAATGTATTATGATAGAAATATTTAAAAAATACATAAAAAGCAAAAATTTTCCAGAATTTGTAAAAATGCATGTGGGTTAGTACCAACCCACTTTTCCAACAAAAATAATAACATAGTGCATAAGAATTATTTCATCCAAATACGACAACCTCCATTTTACAAAAATGCATGTTTTTGTTGGTACAATTTGGAAATTTTATTTCTATTAAAAATAAGAATTTTGGTGAAATAGGTAAAATCATACTATTTTAGGTGGTAAAATTTAAAAATTTAATCCATTTCTCTTAAAAATTAAAATTTAGGTAAAATAAAATTAGTGTCAAATGAAATCTTTTTTTTAAACGGACTTTATTCCATTGCACCTAAGTTATGATCAGTGTAGACAAATAGGTAATAAAACTAAAATCCCATCTTTAGTAAAGTTAATTTTTTTTATCTGGACTGCGGCAACGTTGAAAATTTAGGGTTTTGGTTGGTAAATACAGTTGTCAAGTTGGTCGCATTGATTAAAACAAACTAAGCTAGTTATAAATCTAATTGTGCTTATGTATAAATTATTCTAGGTTACATTGTGAAGTTGTCAAGTTGAGTTGTCGAAATTTGTAGTTAAAAATGCAATTAATTTGGCTTTGGTGGTGCTTGGATGAGTAAAATCATATAAAAAAAGTAGTTAAATATAGGTTGCTTTACAGCCCAGAAGAGAAAGTATCCCTAGCGGATAATAATCTACGCTTTGAAAAAAATTTATATAAAAGAAATTAAAATTTTCTGTGAACGTAAATGTTGTCCAATGGTGAATAATGTAAAAATAATGTGTGATGTAATATTTATAAAACCAAATTCGTTACTTTTTTACTCCAAGAATGTCCATAACGCGATGTACTTTTTCTTCCATTGTGACATTTGGCATAATTTTATCAAAATGAAGTTTTGCCCTCAAAAGGGCTTTTACATTCGAATTCGTTGCTAATATTTTTGGCATAATTATCTTTTTATTTATAATTGACAAGTAAATTATCAATAATAAATATTATTGTCAATTTGACAGTGTCAAAGTATTTAATTAAATTCTTTAGCAGAAGTACCATTTTTAAATACTAAAAATACTAAGTCAAACTGGCATGAGCCACCAACCTAAGAAAAAAACACGAGTCCAGATAAAAAAAATAACTGTAATAAATTTAGTAATAAATTAACAAACCTTGCCATTTTTACTATTACAAGTTATAATTTATGACTTAAAAAATTTTAAGTCATTAGATAATGCATGTTTTAACAATTTTAAAACTTTTGACTTAAGTGTGATTTGTAATACTATTATACATATTTTTATTTCCTCTGCAATTTCATTATTGTTTTATACTTAATAACTCGTCGACTTATATTAGGTACTTACTCAAATCACTTTTACTTTAATTTTAAAATTTAATCTCTTAAATCTCATAATTTAACTGGGTATAATTAAATATATATATTTATATATATATCTTGGCAAATATGATTACCTTTTAATTTGTATTTAGCGTATTGAAGAAAGTCCTTATAGCACTAAAACACCATTTGCCGGTAGGGGAGATTCGCCGGTGTCAGATCGGTAGGTGTTTCAATAAATAAGTAATGAATGAAAAGTTTGGAAACATTCGGAATAAGCTTACCTCGTAAGGACGAGCGAATAGTATGCTGTATGCGATCTATATAACGTGCATTAGTCCTTGCAATTAATGAATCACCAACAATAAAACTGAAAACATTGATCCACGAAGCGTGGAGGTCTGCAACCCCCGTTAGCACCCCTTGCACTGCAGCACTCACTCTACTTTCAACTGCGAAAGCGTAATTTTGGCGCATGCCTCGAATTGCAAAACCTTTCGCAACCCTTTTGTGCGTTAATTTTGATATTTCTGTACATTTTTTAAAGACTATCACTCATAAAAAAATTAATTTAATCTACCTACGATTAGGAAAAATTACCTAAATTTTTGATGAAAAATATTTTTCACAATAAATTATTAAATTTGGTATAATATTGTTACGATTATTATACAGTGTGTCGCATTTAAGATGAAGATATTTTCGCTATTTCAAGGAAAAGACATTTGAATTTTTTCACATTCATACATGTTGGTGGGTCACATTTTTTAAGATACTCAACTGAAATCTGAACTTTAAACTTGGCCTACTACGAATTCACAAACGGGGCCAGTTGTCGATATTTTGCTTCGCGTTAAAAATATCGAAAAAAATTATTGGAAAAAGTTGTTCAGAATATTAATATAACCCCGTATACCGATTTTCATAGCAAAATTCGCATTTCTAATTTATTTATTTTTATTAGTTTTATTATTGTTTTATACCATTTCCTTAATTTAATAAATTATAATTGATTTTTAATTTCCAAAAATTGTTTTAATTATATATTTAACGGTCATAAACACTAGTTAGTATCAAATTATTACTTTCCATGGCTCCCTTATTATCAAACTAAAAAATGAACTTGTAATAATTTTGTGTGGACCAAAATAAAAAAAAATTAAAAATGCGAATTTTGTTATAAAAATTGGGGTAAGAATAATATTCTGAACAAATTTTTCCAATAACTTTTTTCGATATCTCTAACGCGAAGCAAAATATCGAGAACTGGCCCTGTTTGTGAATTTGTAGTAGGCCAAGTTTAAAGTTCAGATTTCAGTTGAGTAGCTTAAAAAATGTGACCCATCAACATGTATGAAAGTGAAAAAATTTAAACCTTTATTCCTTCAAATAGCGAAAATATGGGGGTGTCTTCATCTTAAGTGCGACACACTGTATATAAAATGGCTAAATTAAAAAAATATATATTTATTATATTATTATACCAAAGATAATAAAGGCTATTATTTACGATGATGGTAATATCCGAGTGAATATTACGCATAATCTCGAGTGTAATATGTACTATACTTTATCTACTCCAATTAGTAGATATTTATTTTTTCTACTCCCACCTTTAAAACGCCCTTTATCGTACATGTTTCCATGACACTAAGTGACCTTTTAAATACACATCGACAAGTTGTGGCTTTATGGCGTTTTAGTCACGGGCTGAAGTTAGCAACATGTTTCTAGTCACGGGCTGAAGTTAGTTTTAAGTTAGTTACAGTTGTCAAATGTCATACAATCGTTAAAATAAATTGAATTTCTTGTAAAATAATACTAAATGTGAAAATTATTATATTATCTTAATACAAAAATACAAAGGTATTAAATAGTTTCTCAACGCCTGAACGAACACGGTCAATTACGCGTTATTTTTACCTTTACTTATTTTTATTATATAATGATACGATTTTATTTTCATGTGTAGTGCAATAAAACACTGTCAACTTAATGTGTTTTATAAAACAATATTTACGATATTTAGATACTATAAACAAAATGTTACCAAGAGGAAATACGACGTATTTGGTGTTTTCAAAAGACCACACAAGAAACCGAGAACTGCGTCATATTTTTTCTTATATTTAAAAAGGGCTGACTACTCATAGTCCAGTCATCTAGGCATTTCACCTCGGAATCTAACGGAATAAGCTGAATTTTTGTACAAACCTTTATTTTAGTATTGCAAATGTTGTCTTAAAAGTCACATATGCCAACGTGTGAGCGGCCTTAGATATTCAAGGTCAAAGGTCGCAAAAATCAATTTTTTGAGAATATCTCCTTTTCTCTGCCTCCTATCGTATTTGCATTTATTATACAAGTTGTAGAGAATAAAATTCTCTACAAATTTTGTTTAAAACATTTTTTTATACGTCTAATCGTTTTTGAGATAGAGGGCGCAGAGTGTGGAGCGCTCAGCCATACTTACCTTTAGCGCAAGGTAAATCATGAATCCCAATCTATTATACCGTTTTTTTAATTAATTATTTGTTAAATATTACTTAAATAACAATTTAATACCTTATATTTATTTTTATATATTTTTTAAAACAAATAGTCATTAAATATTACTTACTTTTGACATACAAATAATTAAATAATGAAGTGAATCATTAAAAATATATTCTAATGTTATTCTAATTAATGAAAAATGCATTTTAAGAAGAAAAGACATTAAATGAATTTGCCTTGAATATGTCTCTGGTCATATCTTGGATCCAGATATTGCTTTTAAAATAATAGACCTGGAAATACTATAGTGGGCTTGCTATAAATAAAAAGGTTAGGTATAACTACATTTAAAGCAAGTTGTGACCCTAGGTATAGGTCTAGGGTTGTGACAGGTAATATTCGTAATATTTTAAAGGTTAACATGGCTGATTTGTGTTTTATTTGTAATAAGTTACTTTCTGAAGGTGATTCTGTGACTTTTGTGCGCGGTATAAAGACTTTAAAAGAAGCAATTATTGAGAGAAATAAACATAAACTACCTAAATACTTTGACTTCTGTATACGTTCATATTGAGTGTCTAAAATTGTACGCTATAGCGTACTGTAGTAAGATTGCAGCAGCAAAACGTCGCCATGAAGAGACTGGGTCATCAACTGTACCTCGTAAAAAAGGGAATGATGTGTTTAATTTTAAAATATTGTGCTTATTTTATGGTGAAGTCGCCAATGAGGCAACAAAGGCAAAAAAATCTGCAAAGTACAAACGCGTTATAAGTAAGTTTTTGAAGATATGACAATTAATGGCAATGATACGAGGAGAGTGATGATGAGAATGAGTCTGAAATTGCTGGCCAACGAGGATGAAGAAGATAAAGATTAATAATAATAATAATAATAATAATAATAATAATAATAATAATAATAATAATAATAATAATAATAATAATAATAATATTGATATAAATAAAAAAAAATTTTCCTACTCCGATCCTTCATTAAAATTAAATTAAAATATAAGATATATATGAAGATAAAATATATTTGATTTAAAAGAAATATAAATATAAGTATAAGGTATTAAATTTTTATTTTAGTAATATTTATTACATAATTAATTAAAAAACCGGTATAATAGATTGGGATTCACGATTTACCTTGCGCTAAGTACGTATAGCCATATATGGCTGAGCGCTCCACACTCTGCGTCTTCTATCTCAAAAACGGTTCGACGTATAAAAAAATTTTGTAAGCAAAATTTGTAGAGAATTTTATTCTCTACAATTTGTATAATAAATGCAAATACGATAGGAGGCAGAGAAAATGAGATATTCTCAAAAAACTGATTTTTGCGACCTTTGACCTTGAATATCTAAGGCCGCTCACACGTTGGCATATGTGACTTTTGAGACAACATTTGTAATGCTTAAATAAAGGTTTTCACAAAAATTCAGCTTATTCCGTTAGATTCCGAGGTTGATCCCTTTTTTTGACTAAGATGACTGTACTATCAGTTTTCTCTCATGTTGTATGTATCTTGGTTTTCTCTGTAAGAGTGGCAGTCTGCTCTTGTTATTTTGAATCACTTATTCATTAGCATTCAACCGAGTATCATCTCTGTATTAAAATAAATACATCTAATTTTATTAAGTTGTGTTTATTGATCAACGTTCCTGTTGCACCAAAATCCAGTCAACCAAATTCGCATACGGAAAATGTTTTCATGGATTAGTTTTCTAGTAAACGTGCTTAAGCTCAGTACAACGCAAATATTTGAAAAGTTTATATGAACATTGTACTGACCTTTTAATTTCACCGGCAGTAAACTATAACTTAAATTCGGGCACGGACTCCACTGGAAAGTGGTCATAAAACATGACGCTGACACACAGATTCCCCTATTGTTTCATAGATGGCGCTCTATACAAATTTTTGATTTAATTCATTTTAAGATAATAATAAGTATTTGTCGCAGAAAAAGTATAGTATGCACCTCGTTTATAATCTTTTCTATACACTCAGGCTGACTGAGTGGTGTCTAACAAATGACTTAAAACCGAATCCAAGCAAATTTAAAATAATGAAGTTTCACTGATCTAAATCCAACTTAGAATTTAACTATAAACTCTACAGTACTCCGTTAAACTTACTATCGGAAATAAAAGATCTGGGTGTCTGGTTGGACCCTCAGTTAACCTTTACGGGTCATATTAACTTCATAACTAATAAAGCCAACAAACTTTTGGGCTTCATAAAAAGAAGTACGCGAGACTTTACGAGGGTGGAGTGTGTCAAGATCCTATACTCATCAATGGTACGATCACAAGTTGAATTCAACTTAGTAGTATGGTCACCTTATTTTAATATCTATATTGATAAAATTGAACGCGTTTAAAATAAATTTGCCAGGTTTATTGCATTTAAAATGGGAATTGCGGTAGACTTACCAGGATATAAAAAATTGGTCTTGGATAGACTACAATTAAAAAGTTTAGCTAGTAGAAGAAAATGTATTGATGTTATATTTATCTTTAAACTTTTGAATTCTCAAATTAATTCTCCAGAATTACTTGAGAAGATTAATTTTAGAATACCACAACATCGCACACGACAAAGCAACATGTTTTATGTTAATTTTCATACCAAAGGTTACTCCCACAACATGCCTCTTTCTAGATGTTGCCGTCTTGCGAATGAGACAAATTTGGACCTAAATTATTTAACACTAGCGCAAGTTCGTTCAGCTCTTAACCAAATTTTTTAGAAGAATTTCTATCTGAAATTACCACTTATTTAATAACTGTATTTATTGTGAATTGTTATGTATAATGTACCTATATTGTATATTGTATGCTCATATCCTATCTGTAACTGACTTTGTCGTAAATAAAGTATTATTATTATTATTAATTTAAGTACTCGCTCGCAAGCTCGCTCGTGCCTAAATTAAATTCGTGTATAAAATGGCGTTCATCAAACTTGATACATGATATACTATTTAAAATAAATAAATAAAATCTGACATCCGTCAGATGGTTAACCTCACTTTCCACCAATTTTAAATATTATAGTCGCCTTCGCCCAATTTAAAACCCAATTGATTTAAAGTGTCTGTATGTGATTTGTTCAATTTTCGTCCCATACTGTTCCCGTTCTGTTTTTTTTTCGTTCCGTTTTTGTTTCATTCCCATTTCCATTAGTACGTAAAAAAACGTCAATAAAGAACTTGTCCTAAAACTCCTAACTCATCAGCTTCATTCCTGCCGGACGATCACGTTCAAGGATTCATTTTTTGTTTGCTACTGCTCCTGTTTCTCTAAAACGTACCTATCCGGATGGTGTTCATTGAAAAAATCTGTTGCACGATTTCCGCACTCACTATTAAAAAAAGGTGATCATTTCAACACTTTCAGCAATACTGAAACCATTTTTGAATGAAACTGAACTTATTTTTTGTGTAGATGATGAAGGTTTTTTTATGATTCGACAGATTTTGTATATATTTTTTTGTCAAATGCCTTATCTATACGAATTTATTCTTATAAAAAACAACACTTCCCTGCTTACAATACCCCATAAGGACCTATACAAAAAAATCTATCGGGCGCTACCGGATTTAATATGTGCATTTGTCCATTGTTTTTTCCGGATACGGCCCGATAGAAAATGTATAGGAAATTACCTATAGGCACACCACAACTTTTACATTTTCCCTATTGAGACTTAATGAAGGATATATAGGGATGTCCCTATAGAGCAACCATAAAACATTTGATAAAATTTTATTAAAACCTATGGGGTCCTATGGGGGAAAAACTAATTTCTACATTTAAGTGTATTTTCCCCATTGTAACCAATAGCAAATAAATCAAGGGTGGATATCCCTAACTATGGGTCCTATACATACCGATACACCCTATAGAAACACCATACATTCCGATACAAATATCTATCGGTTTGAACAGGGTCTCTATGGGGTATTTTAAGAAGGGTTAGACTTAAAATATATAATAAAAATTATAAATCCATTTAAAGGGGTTTAAGACTCCTCCTATAAATTATAGTACCTATAGTTAATTATTTGAATAACTTAGCGGGACTAATTATTTTGAATTGACCCGTAAATCCGCAGTGTACTATGTAAACAATTTTAAAATACCAATAACACCTACTACCCTTGTCCTTTTAAATTTGCTTACCTTGAACCTGCACGAGACTATGGTCTCGTTATAAGTTGAAGTAACATGCATAGCTACTGTAACTAGTATTTTAGATATGGATATTTGATATAAATTGCGCAGAAATGCATTAACTGCATACATTTTAAATAAAAAGTAAATAAAATTAAAGTTTTTTATTATTTTTGTTTTATAAAAAGTTTTATAACAATTAAAATCAATACATACAATATACTACTTTACTATACCTAATATGAACAACAACGGCATTATCACTAATAATTATAATATGCCTATTAAGTTAAAAGTATTAACAAACATACATGTCTAAATATTATTTTTTAGTAAATAATATCGATGACTTTGCGCCAAAGTATCGCAAGCAACATAACTCAAATTTCGGGAATTGAAAACATTTCTGTGGGTAAAAGGCATGAGGGGATAAGTAAAAACAATAAATTTTTTAGTAGTGCCTTAAACGTGTTCGCATTAATTTAGGAAATACATTTATGTTTAGCGGGTATATCCTTTTGCCAGCACATGTCATATGCTAGCAAAAGGGTATGCTCGCTAACCATAAATATACTTACCCACAGATTTTTTGTTTTAAAGTCTGTTTTAAACCATATATAACCTGAAGGGTTTATAACAAGAAAATAGATATAATTATAAAACCTTTGGACTATATTTAATTTAAAACAGATTTTAAAACAAAAATTGTTTTCAATTCCCGAAATCTCAGTTATGTTGCTTGCGATACTTTGGCAGAAAGTCATCGATATTGCAATACAATCTAGATTTTTTTAAAAATTAATTGCGTTTATTTAAAATTGGGATTAACAAAACATTTTCATATTACGAAATAAAAAATATTAATTTCAGTCAAGATTTTTAGAATTACGATAAATATATAATAATACTAGGCTACAAAAGAATACTTATTAGTCAATATAATTTTTAATTTTGTTCTTAAATTATCTTTAGTTATAAGAGTTCTCTTGAACTTAATTAAACTAATTAAAAAAGTTAAAGCTGGTAGTTTCTTATCATTTTAAAATTTTCATATTTTATGCAAATAAACGAATTTGATGTCAGCTTGGTAAATTTGGTAGAAACTTTTAGTAGTATATATTTTGACTGCATTTTAATATGAATATAATTATTTTAGAAAATTTAAAAATAAGTAATTTTAAGGAAATACAGGGTGTCCCGAAAATAGAGCACTAACGTCATCACGTATTTTAAGATTATTTATTTATATAGGGCAGTGATGCCACAATTGTTTTATAAGGAAAATTCCCTATAATTCCACATTGCAATTTTGAATTTCTTCAGTCTCCCTATGCTCTTACCTTGCCTGAGACAGTAATAAAAGGAAAATTCATGTTTCACATAACCATTTAAAATTTTAAAAACATAAAAACATAAATAAAAATATGTCAATTTGTCAAAAAAAAAACAATTAAAAATTTTGTAGTTACTAATCCCACTAGTTTGGGATTAGCTCCGCGAAAACAGCTATTATTATTATTAAATTAAACGCCTAAGGTTTATATACAGGTGTGTGTGTGTTTGACAATTGACAAGTTTTCGTTTCTTTGTATGACTATATAGTCATATAAAGAAACGAAAACTATTTAGTTAAAAAATTAGCGCCTTTCTTTCCCCTTCACAAAAAATAAAATGTTAGCTTAAGCGAATTATTGGGGATAATTTCAGATGACTGGGGGGTTAATTTTAATATTTGACATTTGCAACACTGATGAAAAGTGACATTAAAATTTTGACAGCAAGATTTGCCTGATCTATAATAAAGCATTTAATGCTTTCGTCCCAATGCGATTTCTTACTTATAATAAGTTTTGACTTTTTATTACAATTTAATACCCGGTAAACAAATTTGTATAGGTATGTCAAAATATCCCCATAAATAAATTATAATTCCCTATTCTCCAAAAAAATCCCCATAAATAGAGAATAATTTCCTAATCTGGCATCACTGATACAGGACAGCAAAAAAAATGGTGGGTAGGGAATTTCTAAGACAAAAGTTTTTTGGATCTGGCGCAAGCCTAATTAATTAACTACAATACTAAATAAAGTAGCCAATCACAGGCGTGCTTGTCAGAGAACTTAACCTAAAAACCAACATAGACAGTGCCAATTTACACTACAATACATTTATAGCCATCGGATTACTACAAAATTGTGTTTTTTTAAATTTAAGTATTATAAAAAGCAATGTATATAAGTCAACAAAGAATAATAACAATATTAAAATGTTGCAAATAATAAGGTGTAGGTTTTGCTTTATTAAGAGTGTGAAAATGATGGTCTACAAATATCGTCCCAATATATCATATTTAACAACTTTACAAAGCAGCTTAAAACTTTTAATGTTTAAAATGTTAAATATGAGATGATTAGGACGATATGTAACATGCAGTTTTCGCACCTCTCACTTGTAAATGCTCTGTATAAAAGGGTTTTAAACATGATTCTATTTTCAAAAAAAAATAAGTAGGACTTAAGGTGTATACCCATATTGTGAGAAATGGGCAAATACCTCGTTTTTATAAAATGTTTCTTGGGATAAAAACCTTTATATTTGTTCACTAAAACAGTTTTTTATATTCTCTCCCCTATTAGGTATAGCGGACAGTGCACTATTTTCAGGATACCCTTTATAAAGAAATCTAAATACATACGAAACACTGTTGCTGTTTGCCTTTATATTTTAATGATGTTATTGAATCTATAATTTATACATTAAAGACAAAACAGCCAAACTTAATACATTTAAAATGCTATATTTTTGTCTATCAGATCTGTTATAAAACCCTCCAAAAACTTGCAAACCAGCAGTTTCTATACTCTGCTTGCAATAATCCCCATCGTATAGCCAACCGACGTATTCTCGGGTCCTTAGGTTTTCATTTCTAAGCCATTCTTCGAGTGGTTGAAAATATTCTCTCATCGCGCTGCCATCAAGGCGGCTTTCACCTGTGGCTTGAAAAAGAACTTCCCTCCAAGGCATTGATGCTCCTTTTTCCATGATGCTTCTGAGTTATGAAAAATTTAAAATTATTAGAAAGTTATAATTTATTTAATTCAGTGCAAAAACAAGTTTAACACCTTATTTCCCGACGCAATGGTTTATATGTGGATAATGTTATTTGTATAAATAGATAATGCTTTAAATTATTTTGGTACGCTGGCGTCAGAAGTTCGCCATTAGGTCTGGTTTTTGTAAAATTCTACACAAAAGTAGAAAAAACGCGTTTTTATATCACAAAATAATTTTTCTCCAACATACAATTTAAAATTGCTACTCTTTCTCTTTAATGTTTTCCAAAATCTTTTTCATCTCTGAGAAACTTTTAGTTAAAAATTTTGATCGAAACGATGAATTAAATTTTTACTCAAACCAAACACATAAATTTCAACGAATGATTTCTTGAAGAGAAAAGTCTTGAATCTTAAGAATAGTACTTTCAGATGGGGTCACGAGTTTTGTGAAGAAAACATATCTTGTGATGCATTATTACTTGATATATTGTTATTCCACTTTTGGGTAAGAATTTCTTAAAAACCTTGTTGGCTGTAAAAATAATTAAGATAAAAAAAGTTCGACTACTGTCAGATCTGATGAAACCTCACTCTCTACTTTTAATATCTATAATTATTATAATTGTACGTTTTTTCTTTTGTTTAATAAATAAATTTAATAAATAAAATGTTGTATGGCTTGCGGCTGAGAAGTCTTTTTATGCTTTGCCTAATTGTAGGCCCTCGCTACGCCAAGGCGTTCAAACTTTAAACTCAGCACAAAAAGACTTACTTCCTAGCCTTATGACAAGAAATAACTATTTATTAGATTTTATATTATAAATGGTAAAATTTAAAATATAATTGTTTCCCACATTTACGTGCAATTGAGACATTATACGCTTGAAAACAAGTAATAATAGTATATTTATTATTATACGACAGATAATGCGCATTATCTTAAGTGTAATACCAGACTTTATCTACTCCAATAAGTAAATAATTAAATGATTTCCAAAAATAAATCAAATCTGACATCTGTCAAAATGTTGACCTAACTTTTTACTAGTTTTAAATATTATTATAGTCGTCTTCTTACATTGCAATGAAAATTGGTAAATCGGGCATATTTTATTAGCCGCATGAGAAAATGTTGGTAAAATTCTAGCTTTTAGTAAAGTCTACTTAAAATGCATTTACAAAGTTTTAGGAATATTGACCATCTGGTTTTCGAGTAAAAAAATATTAATGTTGCTAAGAGTACACAGGATGTTATCGTTTAATATTGCTAAGCTGTGCTGTGAATGTTGACAAAAATGTATGCCAATTTTACAGGTACATGTGTTGACTGTGTCCAACCAAAATTATCAATCTGTCAAGATCGGCTGCACTGGATTACGAACACGTAATTATCTAGGAATATTTTATGACTAGCATAATTTCGTTTTTAAAGTAAATTATGGAGTTCGGTTTTGTCGCTTGTGGTGTGCGCTTTGCTCAATGAGAAAGTATAAAACAGATGACTTTTTGACGCAGGAGAGACAAAATTGGATTTCCGGTATTGAAATTTACCTATACTTTGGGACAATATCGCAAGCTTTGACCTTCTAGCGAGGTATTTTGTGATTTGTACAATAGACTGAGTGGATGTTTCAAGATTTAAAAATTCACATGTGTGTGGGTAGATGGCTTTGAGAAGCGCATGGACGTTAAAACTTGTAATTGGTCAGTTAAAGCTTAGTTGACTCAAAACCAATTCTCTCGAAAGAGAGAATAAACTGTTTTAGAAGAAGAAAAAAGTAAAGTAAATTATAAAAAAACACAATTGAATTGTTATTTATTAGTTTTTTTTAAATAATTAGACAATCCTTCTACCTTTGATGGTTTTTATCTTTGTTTTCTGATCTTCTCGAGACTTTTCAACATACTGCATATTTTCTGTTGCTTTATTTGTGGTTTCCATACCTTTTTTAAATATTTTTTTTTTAGTGTTCTAGCTTTACAAAACATAATAATTCGTTTTCACAATTAATTTTTATTTTTTTATAATTCACGTTCCTGTGTATGTAATAAAATGACAATGTAAATTTTGTTTTTGAAAGTTGGCACCTATCGCTATTTATGCATTAAGTATAAAAGCAACCCCCCTTACTCCTTTCCCCGCAAAACCTCGAACCTCCTTAAAACCAGATTGGTTAAAATCACGTTAAATATTGAAATCGGCCAATCACTGATACCCAACAACGTGAATAATAAGTTTATGATTCCTGTTGTTAGGCAGTAAATGTGTATTTTTATGTACAAAAAACAATATTATGCAATAGGAGTAAATAAAGTTGGTTATTGTAGACTAGTTATGAAAATATTGTTTCACTCGTGTACTACCTATTCTATTGTATAAATATCTACATAAAGAAAATTAATTAATTAGTATATTTTTACTATTTTTGTTAACAATTTGTTAAATTATCTTACATAACATTAAATTAGTATATTAAGATAATTATTTTTGCTTTTTTACTTACTTTAAAATGTTTCCGGCTTCCTTGTGATTATATACATCGCATTTGTGTAAAGGTCTAATGGAATCCCCTGGAAGATATTGACCAGAAGCTCTGCACATTGACCGGTAAATTTGAAATTGTAATACGGTACTGACAAAGTATCTGAAAAAATAAATAACGAATATAAAATTAATCATAACAAAAGTAATATCGTGATTAATGTACATTATAACTCACGCGAACCTTGTTATACTAAATTTTAATATTAGCACCTTCATTAAATTATTTTACAAGTTTTCCATGAAATATAAAAATGTTTGTGGTTTTATAATAATCAAGGACCGGATTTTAGGCAAAATACCTTTTTGTTTATATTTTAGGCATTTGTTTGGGACCTTAAAATTAATTCTAAACTTAAAAAAATAAAGCGTCTGAATCTCCTTTGTTTTTGCCTAAAAGCCTAAAATGGCGAAATTTTGATTTATTGTCCTAAAAGGACATTTTTTTGAGCCTAAAATACCTAGGCTCTTTTAATTTTTCAGTAAAAAAAAATTCGCCCAGTAATTGGGACCACTTCGGCATCTCTTCAAACGGCAGTTTTTTTTAACAAGATTGTTTTTTGATCGTGTGTTATAGTTGTGTACTGCCCTACTATGGAGAAAGGCAGTAACTACAAAAAAATTCTTAATGCGTTTTCTTGTGCTATGATAAAGCTATGGACATTTTGTATCGTAATTCAACTAAGAAATGCAGTACACTATCTTATAAGTTAAATAAATCAACTAAATATCTACTGCTTTTTATAAAAAATTAGTTTATGCCAATTTTCCACAGATTTCTTTTTTAGCAGTTACTGCCTTTCTCCATAGTTGGGCAGTGTAGGTCTTTGTGTGTATTATAAAGTTCCTTTTATGTATAAAACGTTTTCGAGAATAAATAGACATGGCATGGTTAAGATTTCATATCTAACAAAAGCTGATCAGCTATTAGACGAATAGCTTTTCTTTGCAGGCGAAAAAGCCTGCTGGATTCTGAAACGTGACCCCAGGTGAGAATAGCATAGGTCAGGTACGATTGAAAGGTGGCAAAATATGCAGTTTTCAGTACATTAATAGATACGCACTTTGCAAGACTGCGCAGTGCAAACAGACTTCTACCCAATTTTTTGGCAACAAGATCAATATGGTTGTTCCATAACAGTTGGTCATCAAGCATGACTCCCAAAAATTTGGTTATGTCGACGAATATCTCATTCATGACATTTGTTATTTTATTTAAAGTAAAAATTATTTTATTGGTTTTATCTGTATTGAGTAGAAGTCTATTTGCGCCAATGTTTGAACTTGATTTAGAGCATTCAGAGAATTTTTTAAAGTATCTGAGCTTATTGCCATTGTACTCGAGTACCCATACGAGTACAAAGTACCGAGTAAACTTTAGTTATGAAATGTTGGAAGAAATGCTAAAGAAATGGGGCGATTAAGAAATGAATTTAGAATCACTAGTTCAAAACTAAATACTAGCCGCGGCTATATTAATATCATTATTTGATGAAGGCAGTATCATTATTTGATGAAGGCAGTATACTGCGGCCTATAGGCCGCGGCCTATAGGCCGCAGTATACTGCCTTCATCAAATAATGATATTAATATAAATTTCGCTTTATGTTAATTATAATTATCAACTAAGGCCGGCTAGTGTCTCTTTTTGCTTTGCCTTGGCTTTATTTTTGAATTATCGCGTATTTAAGCATATTATATTAAAGCATATTAAAGCATATGCTTAGGTACCTATACCTTTTTGCGATAGGAATTTATATTAAAAAAAACAATGTTCTATTCAGTATTAATAGGTATATTAACAAAACCAATAAACAACGATAATCCGTATAAAAAGCACAGAAACTCACAAGAATTATAAAGAACCGGAATATAGAAGGTTGTGTGGATTTAGGCCATTGATAAAAAAGACACAGAAAGGAGCTCAAGTGATATATTGGACGTGTCCTTGGGAGTTTTACAATAAGGCCGTCGCCCATTGCAAATTATTGTAACTTACAATTTGGAAGTCTGTCAAAAAATTATAACCGGACTTCCGAAGTCCGCAGCAAAGATTATCTTTGGTCCGCAGCAACCAAAATATAAACAAAATTACATTTCATACGTAAGTAAAAACCTTTCGTTCAATGCTCTTTCCTGTGTCTTTTTATTTATTGATTGAGGCTGTCTTAAGGCTGTCGTGTGAGGCAGGCTGCCTCAGGCAGCATGCCCGTAATTTGACAAGTCTGAGCAGTGTTGCCGGACTTCAAATTTTCAACCCCCACGTACATATTTGCACATATCTGTGGGTAAAAGGCATAAGGGGATAAGTCAAAACAATCAATTTTTTAGTAGTGCCTTAAACGTGTGCACATGTCATATGCTAGCAAAAGGGTATGCTCGCTAACCATAAATATATTTCCTGAATTAATACGAACACGTTTAAGTCTCTACCGAAAAATTGCTTTTTTTGACTTATCCCCTTATGCCTTTTACCCACAGATATGTGCAGCCACGCCAACCTCACCGTATATAAATGTTCTCATTTCATACTTTGGAAATACTCGAGTACACGGGAAAGTACTCGAGTACACTGGAAAGTACTCGGGACTGACTACCGAGTACACTGAAAGTACTTGTAGTACAGTGTTTTAGTGCTTATTAAGGTAAAAATTGGGCATCCGCCAAAATTAAAAGTAAAATTATTTTTAAATTTTAACAGAACATTTCTATATAACAAAAAATAAATTCACCAAGGAAACCATTTTGTAATGAAAAATTTTTATACTATTTTTTGTCTGTTACATCCTTTTAGGTATACATGAATGTGAAAATGTTAACTACCTTGCTTTTAAAGCAATTTATGACAAAAGGTAAAAATAAGGTTTGTGTGGAATTAAGTTGTTTGCATTTTTTTCTTTATAATACATAGGTAAGTAAGGTTTTTTTTCTACTCCCTCCTTTAAAACGCCCATTATCCATACAATCGTTAAAGTTATCTTGTAAAATAATACCAAATGTAAAAATTATTTTATTATCTAAACACAAAAATACAAAAGTATTAAATATTTTCTCAACTCCAATATTTAAAAAGTTTATATGAACATACTGATCTTTTAATTTCGCCGGCAGTAAACTAGATTTAACTTAATTTCGTTTGGAGACTCCACCGTGGAGTGAAAATAAAACATTTTCTTTCTTTCATTGTGAAAAACTGCTTCTATATCAGATTACACGCTCCATTTTCAAGGGATTTACACATAAAATTTGACATTTTCACCGGAGCGCCGGTAATACAGATTTTCAAGTTGGTTACTTATTTACTTTAAATAATTTTTAGATAATAATAAGTATTTGTCGTAGAAAGTAAGTTAAGCATCTCGTTTTTAAACTTTTTTAGACACTCATTGAATTAAATTCATGTCTAAAATGGCGTTTATCAAACATAATACATAATATACCCACTATTATATGCAATAGAATTAATTTATAGAAGTATACTAGTACTAAAAGGTAATGGGTGCATACATTTAGTCTAATTTATAGGTATTTACCTACATAAAACAAAATATTTGATTTGATTTTGGGTTTGGTTTAAAAATTTTATATTTTTCTTATTATTATAAGTTTTTTTTTAGAATTTTGGTTCTGACTAGGCCTACTTATAATATAATAATATAATTAGAAATGTAAAAAAATCGAACCGTTAATAAAAATGTTTTGAATTGCCAAATACATTTATAATTATTTATTTCACTAAGCTGAGAAGTAAGACTTTTTAAGCTAAGCTTAAAGTTTGAGCGAAGCGCAAAAAAACACTTCTAAGGGCCGGTTTATCAATGTCCAGATAAGTGTCTTAACTGGTAAATAAAATTAAAGTGGTAGCTAAACTGTTTATCAATATGCAACTAACGTATACTAAGAACATAAATTAAGATAACTGGAAGTAAATTTAACTGGACTCTGCAAGTGTCAGACCAGTTATCGCGGTTTATAGGTTATATTTGTGTTTGTGTAGTGTTGTTTTTGAAATGAATGTTGGAGATTTTTTTGAAAGTCACGACGATGAACAAATTGTTGACACGAGAGAAGACTTATACAGTTTTAGAACGGGAAGAACATTTTCAAAATTATGACGGTTTTTTAAGATATCCGCTGCAGAAGCAAAAATAGAGGAGGAAATAGAAACTTTTATGGATATGTAAGTACAAGTTCTTCGTATCTGTCCACATATCAAGAGAACAATTTGAACCGATAGATTTTTTTTGGTAAATTTATTTTAAAATGCGATATTTTTGTAACAAAGAATAAAAGATAATAAATTGTATAAAAGATATTTATGTACGTATTTTTATTTAAAAACATATATCTACACCTATAAAATAATAAAGAAACATAACAATTTACACAAAATAAGAGTCGTTTGAGGTTATGTGTTTTATGCGCATGCCATGAATTTAAATTTAACCAATTAAAATGTATCTTGACAGTGTTGCCCAATTACCGTATTGCTAAACTGGCAGATAAGAAACTGGAACCGTAGGTACGAGGTGAAGAAAAACACTTCTATTCGGATAACTGTCAGATAAAGGTAACTGTAAGATACTTAACCGCCACTTTTAGTTGGACATTGATAAACCGGCCCTAAGCCGAATGGTATACAACATTTTATCATCAAGGCACAATTTTACCGAATATTTTGATTGGACCAAATGGTTTTTACCAGCCTAGAAGGTAAAACCCCGATTGGTCTAAATTATTTTTACAGCCTAGGAGTTATAATTTATTTTACAAATTGATAAAAAGACTTTTTTATGCCCATCCAAGGGATATAACTGAATTCTAAGCTTAGACATCTTGAAAAACAAAGTCATAAACAACAAACAATTTTGACTCCAAATTGTTTTTTTACTTTAAACATGATTATCTCAAAACTAAACAAAATGTACTTATACCCCTTCTCTCTAAAAATGAATTATTCAAAAATGACTAATTTAATAGTTATTGTAATAGTGGCTGCTTTTTCACTTGTACCATGGTTAAGCATGGAATACCATGGTATCCCAAAATTTAACAGCCAATTCTTATGTAAAATTGTCCCCTGAAAGTTAAAAAAAGTAAAA